CTGTTTTTCTACGTTTTTTATACGTTTAAAAAACGTATTATTTCCGTATACTTTCCTTATACTGATTATTTATAGGGGATCCTAAGTCAAATTTATTATCAATACAACTATTTGAGTCATTTAAATATTTATCAGATTTAGCGTCATCATAGTTGGCAAATAAGCTAGTTTCACAATCAGTTTAGTCAAATATAGTTAGGATATACATGATATCAGTAAGAAAAGATATATTATCTTAATATATTTTAATTTATTTTTTTAATAAATGTAAAAAAGAAACAACAGCAAACTTAGTAGGTAAATCATAAAAGAAAGATATCTGAATATGTATTTAAAATGAAGTTTTCTATATAATCTATTATATAAATAATAGCAGAAGATTTTACTTTTCAAGATATATACTCAGGCATAATATAACCTTTGCATAATATAAATATATATTAAAAAGATATATAAAATTAATGCAAATAAATATATTTTTAATAGGTATCATTCAGATGGAAGTAAATGCAGAATTATATTATAGTATATAAATGGCAGAAGCACTTATCTTAAAGTATGTACTCAGATAGTATAAAGGTAATTTTAGAATTATTATATAAAATAATGGAAAAAGCCTTTATCTCAAATCTATCTCAGAAATTTCAGCATATATATCACTCAAGTATATAGCAGGAAGAATATATTACACTCTAGGTGACACTTTTAATAATAAAAAATCCCATTCTGAATGTAAAACCATTAATTTTTTACTAATTATTTTAATAGTAACGGTAAATGTAATACAAATAAATAAAAAAATTTTTATATATTTATAATTTATACAATTCAATCAAACCACCTTTTTTCTTACAAAATACCTTCAGATCAAACATTCAAATATTTTGCAAATTTATAGGTAGATTTGTAAAATAACTAGGATGGTTGATTAGTATTTTATGGTAATTTAATAAACAAATATTAATTATTTAATAATAAAAAAATATTAAGTAATATAAAATAATTATAATTTAATATTACTTTTATTTACTAATTTTTTTAAAAATAATTTTAAAATATAATTAAATTAGAATAATCTTTTAAATTTTAAAAGTTATATAAATTAAATATAATATATCAAAAATAGGTAGTAGAAAAGAAGGAATTTTAAATTTTGATCAAATTTATTTTATTTCCGATTTTGTTTTATCAGCCAATAGAATTTTAGCAATAATAAAAAATGATGCGGCATTTATTTAAACATATTGCACGTGATATTGAATCTTCTCTTTTTCTCTTTACACTTTTACCTACTATTACTTTAATTTTAAAAACATTGGTCGCTTTGCTATGTTAAGTTCAGAACCATATTCTTAATATCAACAAAATACTCAACGCGTTTTCAAACATGCCTACTCAAACTTTCTCTGCAAAAATTGTAGAATCTAAATTGCCTCTTTTTTACAGATTGATGTACAGAGTGTCTAAGGGAAATGACAAGCTTATTTTTGGTGTGTACCGTGATAAACTTGTTATTACAATAAAAACCAACACTTTTAAAATTTTGATTACTTTTAAACGCAAATTATTTGACAGTTTCCATGTGATTAGCCCGAGAAGTTATACCATATTTGCAAGTAGCATTCGGGATGTATTTTCTGGAATGTCAGTGAATTTGAGTTCCTTACGAATTATTATTGAAGAATCGGATGATCTTTCCGGAGAAGAAAATATGATGATATTCGAAATTTGTAGAAAAACGCGATTAATTCAATCAAAATATAGTATCTTTTGTAATCAAATATCCGAAATTGAGGAAGAAACTAATACAGAAGCTTCATTAGAGGAAAGAGAGGAGAATCACTGGTCGATTAATTCTGTGATATTTAATAAAGATTATTGGCCTTATAATTGCAAGAATGAAAATATTAGATTCTTATTTGCAGAGGAAGCTTTAAGGATCATAAATTCTATAAAGTTATCTGATGGTAAGTTTTCATCTGAATCAAGGTACTCTATACCAAGATCACGATTCGTGGATTATAATATCACTAATCAAATGGATATCAAAATTAATCGAAAATCTTTTGAGAGAATAATGCATCTCGTACTTTCATTGAAATGCAATTTAAATGCTCACTTTAGTGATACAGATACAGATGATCCATATCAACCTCAACCGTTTTATTTATGCGGCGAAGTTGAGAAATATATCAAAATTGAAGGAGAAATTTTTGGAGATCATTTAAACCGTGGGAACGATCCGGAAAGGCCACTCGAATGGGAGATTGATTCTCTATTGAATATACCAAATCAAGTAAATCAACATTTAAATAGTAGTACCGGAATGGTATATCAAGTAGCAGAGGTATTTCGCGAAGATAACACAGAACTTTCAAATTCTAATACATGTGTTAATATGTCAGGAGAATCTTTTAATGCTAACTCGAGAGAAAATCACATGTTGGACGATAATGTTAGTGACAATTACCATTCGAATTATAGTCATACAAATGCGAGCATTAGTGCCACAGAAATAAATCCTAGTATATCTAATTCGCTAAATGATAGTAGAAGCAATTATACGGGAACGTCCTCACACTCTTCCTCTAGCTCATATATTCCTATTCCACACGATGAAGAAATCTCGAGAAGATTAGGCGTGATTAATTTTAATGATCATCGGGTTAGCGGTGTGAAAAGGAGTTTTGGTGTGGCTGGTTTGGATAGTTATGTTAAAACCGAGGACAATGTTAGACACAGGACAATTAAATATAACTCGAATGATGATGATGTTATGAATGATGATGAATAGTATAAATTTTGTGTTCATAGAAAATAATAAAATTTTCAACCATCACGTGATACATTAGATCAAGTATCAAGTATCACATATTACTTGTGCAACGTCAAACCAAATATAAAAAAATCGTTTTTTAATTTTTTGTTTAACCTCCTAATTCATTTCTCTCAATGTCACATAATCATTTAGAAGAAACCTTATCAGAACAACCATTAACATCACTTTCATTAACACATGTAGAATTTGATCCAAAAGACCCGTTTTCTTATGCCTTTGCATATGTGACATTATCTCCCTTGATTATAGTAATTAGTTATATTAGTACTATTATTTCTAGAAGAGAATTAATGATGATTAATATGTTTTTGGGTCAATTAACTTGTGAAATATTAAATACTGGATTGAAAAAATGGATAAAAGAAAAAAGACCTAGTGGTAATTAATAATGGGAAACCGGGTTAGGATACTAGAAGAAATGATCAATTAATGTTTAAATTTTATTCACAGATAAAATTGGTGTAGGATATGGAATGCCTTCTTCTCATGCCCAATTTATCGCTTATTTTACAATTTTTTCTTGTATTTATTTATGTTATAAGTGAGTAAATGAATTAAATTTTTTTTCTTAAAATCGAAATTTATTTATTTATTTATTTTACAGAATCACCTTTCGTAATAATTTATGGAAACTTCCACTAACTTTTGGGTTGATTATATTTTCGTTTTTAGTTTCTTATTCAAGGTAATTAACTATAATTAATTGATCTCCTTGAATACATTAATCAAATCTCTTTAACACATCATTTATTTTTAGGATATATTTGCATTATCATACAACGAAACAAGTTATAGTAGGCAATATATTTGGTGGGGCGTTTGCAATATTTTGGTACCTTTTGATAGAAAAAATAATTAGACCTTTGGGTATATTTAAAACGATTATTTATTCTCCTATTGCTAAATATTTTTATCTAAAAGATAATTCTTCTGCTAAAGATATCATTAGAATTGAGTATATGAATTGGTTAGCTTTAAATGAAGTAAAAGAAGAATGAAAAGTAGAAGATCGTGTTTATAGATTGACTATTTAAAACTCCATAACTAGATCAAACCATTTCTCAGGTCCTATTAAAAATATGTATATTTCTTTAATTTAATGTGATCTAAAAAAAAAAGTGATTTCGCGAATTTATATCACTTACCATGAACGACTTTACTTTCTCCCATTAATTTAAATCCAACATTTCGATATAAAGGAATTAGATATTCATGAGCTAGTAGAGCACACCTCTCATATTTTACACCTACACCATCATCACCAGATCCTTTCAATGAACTTATATATTCTTTTAATAATTTAGTAGCAACGCCACCTCTTCTATATTGTTTATCTACGCAAACGGAGTGTATACAAACAGTTTTACCCTCCTGTTCGTGTAAGGACATGGATTCATGCGTTAAAGATTTAGATAACGTTGATGTCGATACAATAAATCCAATCAAATTTAAGGATGATGATGTTGATGGGAGATATGCACCCATGAATAATTTTGGTGCTACTTTTTGTCGATATTGTAAGGTCTCTAATGATGCCGCTTCTTCTGGTGGATATCCTATCATTATCATTAATATTTTTTAAAAAAAATGATTATGATTTGTGAATAAAAATTAAGATATTTTAAAAGAAATTTAATATATTTTTAGAACCTTCAGACTCTAATTGAAATGCTCTTTCAACATCTGACACATCTATATGCTTAATAATCAAGGAATCAATATAATTCTCTTTATCAATCGTAGTTGACATTTTTTTAAATGAATTTTTTTAGAGAAAGAAAATGAATAATTAAACATAATTTTCTACATTTTATTTAGTATCAGTGATACGTTACGCAACTTGCACTAGCAACGGTTATTTCGGAAAATCATTTTCCCATATTATACTTTATTATTAAAGATTAAATTTTTTATAAATTAGAATTAAATTTGTTTTTGAAGATTTTTCTAAAAAATGTAATATCTGATATATCTTTGTTTCGCAGGTGCAGCAGATGGAACTGTAAAAATAAAAAAACCCATCTTTCAAATTAATCAATTTCGAAACAAATATGGGTAAAAACAGGGAATTATGCCTCATTCACTTCAAGAATAGTCAATTCGATTCTTTCCAATAATTTTCTACTTGCGCTCCTAACCAATTTATACATCCCCCATGTGGCTTTAAGGATACCAAGAACAATGATAATTGTGAAAAAAAAGACTGTAAATCCATCAGCTCGACTTCCACTACCAACTCCACTAGCTGGTCCTATCCTAAAATTACTCCATGAAGGGATTGGCCCAAACCACATTAAAGAAAAGAACAATTGTACGAATCCTATAAGGCCTACAAACAAAAATCCTGACAAGATATGAAAGGAATCAATAGTAAAGATCGTTGATACTGTAATAGGTTCCGTAAATAATGGTTCTACTTCTTCATCAATTTCTTCTTCATACTCAAAATCCTCTGTAAGAGGAAAGAGATAAAGAAAAAATTTTGCAAGAAAACCTCCCAAAAAAACACAAATTGCAAATAATGATAATGTGACAAGTGTTAGAATAACTTTTTTTGACAATTAATGGGCAATAATAATAATCGTAATAAAATTTAACAAGTTAGATTTGATTGTTTATTCAGAACAAATAAAATAACTACTAATTTTTGCACTTACATTCGTTAGTAGCAAATTTAGCCATTGTCGTCCTTCGAAAAGCATATTTGTATTTACATTCGTCGCACTGAAAAAAACTGGTTTGCTTTTGGCTCTGTAACCTCCAATGATTTAAACATTCCACATGAACATACTTTTCAAAAAAAAAAAAAAATAAATAAAATAAGTTTGTTTATAAAAATTCTATAAAAATCAAAAATTATAATTCAAGGAAAGAAAAAATAAAATAAAATACCCTCATAGTTCCTTTACATTGACACGGTGAAATAAGACGGCCAAGGTTATCTTCCTCTTCCGAACCGGCAAAACATATGCGACACATTTTATCTTCTGGTGCATGAGCGGAACTGTTAATTCCAGAATCTTCAGACTGAGTGGAGTCTGTACCTCTTGCCATTGCAATTATTTTCTTTACACTGGGTTCTTGTGATGTCCTCGTTAAAGAATCTTCTTGTTCAACTATATATTCTTTAGTAAAACTATGCGTATCTTCGTCATTACTTTCATGTGAAGGGTCGTTGATTTTTTCCCATGTATACTTTTTTGTTTCATAATCTACAGAATTTGAGAGTCCAAAGGAATTTTTCTCCTGTAGAACTTCATTCTGTGACTTACGATTGTATAAATTATTTTTTTCCGTCATGAAATTAATAGTGAGGGGAAGAAAGTTTCGGTTTTTCAGCTGATCGATCTGTTTAATTTGTCATATTAAATTGTACCACAATGTACTACAAACTTTTAAAAAAAGGAACGTGTTGAATTTATCCGACAACCGGCCTTAACCGGAATTACATCATTACAAAACCATTTTCACATGAAAAAATTATTTTCCGTTCAAGGCTTTTTTTTTTTTATTAGAAATAAAATATTTTACGAATAATAATCCCTTTTACACCACAACCCACACCGCTTAATTAATAAAAAATAGGAGCAGCCACGGCGAACCATGACCACCCCAACAACCAGAAATTATGCGCTCGAGACATCCATGAGGATGTTCGGAGCAACGGCCACCAGCTAAGTGCAATGCCAGCAACCATCACCCGCATCCCTGCCTTATTGATCACAGAGGATGCCGCGCCAGGTAAGTATGAGTTGCTAGGGTTTCAAAAAGGGTTACATATATAGATAATTTTCGAATATTTGAGAATTATGGGATTTGTGATCAAGTGACTTTGACATCCGATGATCAGATTTTATTGGCCGCAGATCAGGGTTGTTGTAACGTCACAATTCAATGTTACATCATTATCATACGCGTGTTTTTTTTATCCATTTAAAAAACGAAATGATTTTCATTTTAAACGTGTAATTGACCAAATGACTTTTTTGATTAATTTATAAAACGTTGATAGAAATTCTTGAAATTTTTTTCCCCCGTTGTTATTACGAAATATAATTAATAACCTTCAAACATTATTTCATTTTTTAAATATGACAAGTTCAGAAGCATTAAATGGTCCTCCTTCATCAGATTATATAACATCAAGTTCAAAAATATGGTTTTCATATTTGCCGAAATTCAAATCTTTTAATGTTGGATTTATGGGAGTAAATGAAGCATCATTGGGTGGCATATTACATTTACGTTCAACCGAGGAACATCCATTATATATAAACAAGATCAAAATTGGATTCTTAGGACAAGAAACAAGAGGATGGTCAGAACCTTACAATATTGATTTTGAAATGAAAAGTAATCTTGAGAAAATATGTGATATCAATGTAAAATTGTGGACAAGCGGCGGAAACGACGAATTTAAAAAAGTTACAAAATGGGATTTGCCATTTAACATTCCTTTACCTGCTGATTTACCGCCTTCGATGACTTATTTAAGTAGGAATAATAATGATTGGATTGTCAGGTATAGATTATTAGCAACAATTTATCGTAAATCTCCAAATTTATCAAAAAAAATTGTTTCAGTTAAAAATAGGTTAATTAGATATCATTTGCAACCAATAACTAATCCTCACATTACATTAAGCGAGAGCTCAAGACATCTTGGGTATATCATACGTTTAGATAAAACCTATTTCAATCTTGGGGAAACAATTAAGATTTCAATGAGATTATTTCTAATTAACCTTGAAGCAAAACTCAAAGAAATTAGTATTTGTGTAAAAGAATATTTCAATTATGGATCTAATAATAGGGAAAAGAGTTATGTTATTAGCAAAAAAATTATAAATGGTGATTCGATTCATAATTTATTGGATGATGATAATGAATGGAACGCTGATATTTTATTACATTTACCATTAGGTCAAAATGGTAATAAAATTTTATTATGTGATATAACCGGAAAAAATTCAATTAAAATTCAACATAAAATTAAGTTTAGATTTAAAATAAATAAAAAATTATTTGGTGCTAACGACATTATTAAAGTTGAAAAGTATATTTCCATCAAGAATTTCGTTAATGAAGAAATGCATATAGGATTAGCTTTAGCACTTTCTGAAGAAGCAAATTCCTTTCTATTTAGTCAAGATAGGTCAATGCAAACAAATGCTGCTGCTCAACAATCAATTTCTCCTCAAAATTCAATAATTACTCAACGTGAGCACGAACGAAGAATATCAAATCGAGACATAGTTTTACGTGAGCAAACAACAGATCAACCTCCTCCTCCTTATAACGAACCTTCATTACCCCTAACTCTTGAAAATTTGGCCCTAGCTACAAATAATCCCCCTCTATCATCAACTAGGCCTCCTTCTTATATTTCCAATGTTGAAAATATTGAAATTCCTTCAAATAATACTCCCAGAAATTATAGTATGGTTTCAACACCTCCTTCTTATATAACTGCATCTGAAACTTCTGAATCAAATTCTAACGAAACACCTACGTATTCGGAGTTTTCTAGCGATGAACATGACTCTGAGTCAACTTATTAATGCGAAATTTCGGGATTGAAGTTAATTATTCGATTGTATATAAAAGAAAATTTTCAAATTTTTTTTTTTTTAATTGATAACCCCCATTAAATAATAATAATAATCCTTAAACTAAATGGATTTTGATTAAATACTGGTAGGGATAAATAACGGAGAATAATAATAAACTAATTACGTGATCAAAATAATGATAAAAAAACCACGTTTATATGTAATTAAATAGCTATTTTAAAAATTAAACTACGTTTTAAAATTACTCAATTCAATCGTTTTAAAGGATAATTGAAGGAACATAAAAAATTGATTATAAAGTATTGATTTTTTTTATATAATATCAATTAATAAATACATAATATATTTAATTTTCAAAAGTATATATATAAAAATTTAAAACTAATAAAATTAAATGATGATAATGTTTTATTCAAATTAAATTTTTAATTTAACTTAAAATTTTAATATTAATCTTATTTAACAAATAAAAATTTGTAAATCCCTGAAAAATTATTTTTAGATTATATAGATAACAATTACCCAAATAGTAAATCTGTTTCATTTGTATTTTATAGTAATATTCCTAAGAATAGAATATATGTTTGTTACAAATGTACTTCTAACCTAATTCCGCATCTTTATTTTATTTAAATCTTTTTTTTGAAAACCCCCTTCTTCAAAATATGGTCATAGTCAGCAAATTTTAACGCTGATCGGGATTCAAATAAAAAGATTAACAAAAAGAAAATTCAATATTTAAACTCTATCAATACTTAAAAAGGAAATACATACTTGTACACAAATGTTTGTTTGATATATATATATAGGTTGATTTCTTTTTTTTTTTTTCCACTTTTTCTTCTTTTTTAGCAAAAATTTTATTTTTATTTTTATTTTTTTTTTTAAAAATGAAATTTTCTATAATTTTCTTCCTTTCAATTTTCCTATTATTCGTAGTTACGTTAGCTGAGCCTCATAAAGGTCATAAAGGTCATAAAGTTCATAAAGGTTTGTTAACAAATGGGAAATTTTAAAAATTCGATACCTTTTAAAATAGTAACGTAACGAAATTTATATATTTATATTTCAACAGAATTATTTTTATCAATAATTTCAAAGAAAATAGTTTTACCAAATTTTGATCCAGAACCAGATGTGCCTATAGTAAATAATCCAGAACAACCGGCAAAACCGGTAAAAGCAGCGAAACAAGTAGCACAAGATGAACCAAAAGGAGATCCAGATGAGCCACCAGAACAATCAAAAGAAAATGATCCAGAACAAGAACAACCAAAAGAAAATGATCCGGAACAAGAACAACCAAAAGAAAATGATCCGGAACAAGAACCGCAAGAACAACCAAAAGGAAATAATCCAGAAGAACCAAAACAACCTGATCCAGTTGAACCTCCAAAAGGTGATTCAAAAGGAATTCCTGGGGAAACTCCCCCAAACAATTCAGACGGAACTCCTGGAAACACGCCCCCAACCACATCAGACGGAAATCAGGTAATTATTTATCACAGTTTAGGTATTCAGTGAAAAGTTTTAACCTGATTATGATTTTATAGACCGAAACATCACCCACACCATTATTTGTACCAAGACCTACCATTATATCCCAAAATAATGCCTCGATTAACAGATCTTTTGGATTTGTTGTTATATTACTTGTTATTACCAACACTATTCTTACTCAATTCTACTAGAATATATATAAATATATAAATATTATAATTTTAAAACCTTCTCTTCTTTTTATTTAAAGTCATGTAAGAACTTGACGAGCAATTGATTATTACAGACAAATTAATTGTATTTGTAAAAAATAAAATAAAAATAATAATTATAGTGCAATACAATAAATTAAGAAAAGATTAAAAAATATAATTAATTACATATCTTTTTCTTCGAATGAATAACTTTCAAATTTGGAAATAAAATGAGACCTTATTTTGTTTTAGAATTTAAGGGATAATTGATAAATATAAGGAGAAGTCAAAATAATCATTGATTAAATTAACCCCTTAATCAATACAACGTTTCAACAATTCCTATTCCTCAATAGGAGTATTATTTAGTGTTAAAAGACATAATTTCAAACTAATGACCAGGTACATCCATTCATGTAATAAAATGGAACTTTTAATACAAGTTCATTTCAAACTAGGAGAGATATCAATCAAATAATTAGATAAATATATTGTAAAAGAACAAATCATTAAAAAAAAATTAAACAAAGCAAACCACAATTTTAGAGAAATGTGTTCGTTGGGAATCGAATGTAATAGGAAATTTTGTAAATTTAATCATACACCATCGTTTGGTATCAAAACATACAGCAACAAAGTTAAAAAATATAAAAGGAATTTTAATCTTGAACTTACAAGGTATATGAATAATCGTGGAAATGTTGTTATGAACGAAGTTTGTCGAAATTAATCTTTACTCAAATTTTTTTATTCATGTAATTATTACTTAAAAATAAAAGGATTATATATTGATTTATTTTAATTTTTTTTTAAAAAAAATTCTTTAACTTCCCTTTAAATTTTTACCTTAATTTGTTTGCAAGTCTTCTACTAGTTATTTCTATTTTCAATGTAAATAATCATTCCCTCATTATATCTTTTTCAAAAAACGAGATTAATTTTTCTTTGGGAAAATTCATTTTAACACTTAAACAACAATGGGTACAAACCAAATAACCACTAACCCTTTTTCTCACACAATAGCCCTCAGATAAGGCTTGAAATTAGACCATATATATCGCTTTGCAGCAATAACTTGTTTAAAATCCTAATTTCATGGGAATTTTTTTTTTTTTGTTATGTGAAAAAGGAAATTCAGATAGTCGGCAAATAACATATTTAAAAAGTCAAAAACAAAAAAAAAAAAAAAAAAAAAAATGAAATCCTTCATCAAAATGTCAGTTTCAAAAATTCCAATTCCTCAAATTATTAAAATTGGTGTATTAATTGGTGCCCAAGGATGTAATCTCAAACCTATTGCCGAGAAAACCAGTACATCCATTCATGTAAACACAAAAGTGAATCCAGCACTAATTGAAATTAGAATAAATTGGGACTATAATTCAAGTTCGCTACCACCATCTGAAAATGGAATTAACAAAGCAAGAGATCAATTAAATATTTTAATAAATAAATTATTGAAACGTTTAAATCATTCGAATCGTTCGAATCTTTCAAAGAGCTCAAAAACCTCAAAGACCTCAAAAACTTCAGAGAACCCAAAGACTTTAAAGATCTCAAAGACCTTAACGACCTCAAAAACTTCAAAGACCTCGAATGTCTCAAAGAATTTAAAGTGCCTGAAAGTCTCAAAGAATTTAAAGAGTTTGAATGCCTTAAAGAATTTCAAGGGTTTAGATTAGGGATGTGTTAGTCCTGGCAAAACCGGTCCGCAAATCGGTTAATGAACCGGTCCACATGGTCTTCGGTCCGTGA